TGGTGGGTGGGCAAGCCCCTGCCCTCTCTCTGTCTCAGATCTTTTCTGGCTAAAGACCCAGTGCCCTGCTCCCCTCCCCTGGTTTTCCAGTTGTTCAGCTTGGATGGTGGGTGGGTGGGCAAGCCCCTGCCCTCTCTCTGTCTCAGATCTTTTCTGGCTAAAGACCCAGTGCCCTGCTCCCCTCCCCTGGTTTTCCAGTTGTTCAGCTTGGATCACTAACTCTGCGGGACCGTCTTCTGCTACCCTCCTGAGAGTATGGGAGATTCAGAAACGAAGACAAAGAGAGATGGATTTATACAAACAACTCAGAGCAGACGCCAGGCATCCCCTCCAGGTCCCTGTCTCAGCTCTACCATTTCCAGCCTTCTCGCTTCATTTCTCTTTCCTCCCTGTCATCTCCTTCCTCCCCATCCCAGGAACCAGTCCCCAGCCCAGCTCTTTCCCAAAGCTCCTAGAGGCAGCGGGGTATGAAGGGCACAGCTCAGCTTTGGGAGGCTGTGTGTGTGTGTGTGTGTGTGTAAGTGGGTGTGTGTGAATGAGCTGACCCAGGTAAGGAACTGGGGTGAAAAGGCATACACAAACCCAGAGCTTGGAGACCACACAGACATGAGGGGTCCAGGCTGTGGAGTCACTATTGCCTTTGACGCCCTGGGCTTCCATCTCACTCCCCCTCCTCCACCACAGGATGACGGAGGTTCTTGGGATTTCAGCTTCTGAGTAGCTCCCTTGAGGTTCCAACTTTAAGTGGAAACATGGAGGGGTGAGGATTGGGGAAAATGGGGAATACTCAACACAAGCAGTAAGGATTCAGTATTTGGGGACTGCAGACGAGTGGCTGGGATTCTGACGCTTTACTGTACAGAGATCTAGTCATGAAGATGAATAACAGGGAGGGGCGAGAAAGATGAAGGAACGTGACATCTACATAGCCACCAACATTATCATTAGGCATGGAAGGACCCAGAGACGTGCAACAAGCCACATATGTATACGCACACACACACATTATTGTGTACCAACAAGCTAGGCACACATCCAGAGATGCCCAGGATTGGGTACACCCCAAGACTACAAAGGTATACAGACATTCAGAAGAAATCAGAACCCACACATTGGGACACCTGGACACAAGCATAAACAGGCACACAGACTGGAAGAGAAGATCACATATTTAAATCGGAAATATTATCATGCCCATCCACTCTCCATCTGACTAAATACACCACTGCCCATCATTGCTCTCTTTCCTCATATGCTTTACTAATATCTGAACGCACACAAACACGAAGGCGCGTGCATGTCAGGCGCAGTGTGTGTGCACACACAAGTTCACAGGCATGTGCAGTTTCTCTAGGTGCTTGACTCCCCTCACTTTGTCTTTATCCCCATCACCCGCTCAGTGAGCCCCCCTGGGCTCCCTCCCTCCCCGTTTCCTCCTCAGTTGGATGGCTTCCCCTCCCCCTCTCCAGATGTCTGAGCCATCACTCTCTGATTCATCCTCCTCAGGAAGGTAACGTGACCCCCTCCCCAGCTCACAGCCTCAGTAACCAGGCTGGGAAGGTGAAGGGGAGATGGTGAGGAGCCTGAGGGGAGCCCAGAGGGGAAGGAAGGAGACCCTGGATAGTTGCGTGGGGCGGTGGGGGGTGGGAGGAACTGCCTCTGGGTCCCTTGCCCCTCTGCTTTCTCTTCTTTGGCATCTTCACAATCACCTTGGTTCTTCTCCGGTGTGTGTGTGTGTGTGTGTGTGTGTGTGTGTGCGTGTTTTCTTCCTCTCCTTCAGCCTTATTCTTCTACCTGTTCCAAATTCTTTCCTTCTTTTCCTCTCCCCTGCCCCCATCTCCTCGGTCTTTCCTCTCTCTCCACTCCTCCCCATCTATTTCCCCGCAGAGCTGATGGGCTTTCTTCTGGGAAAGTCGAGCCAGTGATGGAAGCGAGAAGCCACTGCTGGCTATAGAGGGAAAGCACGTGAGTGTGTGTCTGTGTGTGAGAGTGGGGGTGGGGGACTGAGTGAGGGTCTAGGAAGAAATGAGGTGGGGGGTAAGGACGGGTTCTGAAAGAATCTCTAAGCCCCTGACATACTCCTGATCCAGGTTTCCAGCGTCTCAGGGTGAGGGTACCCTGCGTGTGCCCACAGGCACCTCTATGTCCGCATTCTTGTGTGTCTGGTGTGTGTCATTGTCACTCCCCCCTTTCTGTGCCCACACCCCCGCACTCCTCTCTGCCTGCACTGCAGCCCCCTCCAGCCTCCCTTTCCCTCCCCTTCATTCCTGCAGTGGCTGCTCCCCTAGCCATCCCCCCCTCTCCCCTGCCCTCCTCCCCATTTCCGTCCTCCCCCTACCCTCGCCCACGGCTGGTCTCCCTTCACCGGACCCAGCTCGTTGATGGATTCTCTTTGCGCAATCTGTGCGTCATCGCCCCCCACCCCCGGAACCTCTAGCTCTCCAAGCCCCCAGCCCCAACCCCGCTGACAGGAGATACGGTCGAAGGATCTGGTGGCCGAGAGGGGCTATCTCTGACGTTGCATGCCCTCCCTCCCTTCACGTTCAAACCTTCCCTGTAAGTGGTGGAGAGAGCTGGAGTTGAGTCAGTCCCCACCACCTGCGCAACCCCCTCCCCACCTGGTCTGGTGTCGCCCTCCAAACGTCCTTTAGGGGGGACGCAGTGGGAAAGAAAGGAGCTAGGGGGAGGTGAGCCGAAAGGGGGCACAGGGGACCCGGACATAACGCGGCCGGACAGAACAGACACACCTTTCTCTCCAGACACGCACCAGTCGTGAACAGACAAGACCCAGAGGCACACACATCCTCAATTTCCCCCCTTTCTCTTCCGACTCTGACTCTCTCGGACGGGATTACCAAAACCGCAAGATCCACCCGCCCAGGGCTGGCACCCGCACCGCAGATCCGCGGACAGCGCCCGCAGGCGCGCAGAACCGTCCCTCCTCTCTCAGGTTCACACCGTCCTTGGGCGTGTTCCCCACGGACCGTGCGGTCTGGGGGTGAGGAGTCCACCCCCTCCCGGCTTTCAAATCCTTACCCTCCCCCTCCCCAGTCTGTTTTCTACTGGTACCCAGTCAGACGCTGGGGGTGTCCCCTTCCTATTCGGCTCGGCAACACCGGCTCCCGCAGCTGCAAGTTGCTTTGTAACCCACCCTCCCGCCTTCCAGCGCCTCTCATCCACCCTTCCATTCATTCTCCCATTCATTCATTCATCCTTTTCTCCTCATCCTTCCTTCATTCATTCGTAGCCCCCCGCCCCGCCCGCTTCGGCATTTCATTCATTCATTCATTCATTCATTTTCCGGAGATCCGCTAGCGCACGCCCCTCTAGCTGAGGACGCCAGCGCGCAGGCGCAGGCCGGGAAAGGTGCGCACCCTCCAATCGCTGCGCGTCCTCCCTCCTCTAGGCGCCCGCCCGCTTCCCCATGAATGAACATTGACGTCAATGGGGCGGGGCGCGCCCACGTGACCCCGCGCGCTCCCCTTTATAAGGCGGCCGAGGCGCGGGCGCTGTCCAGCGTGCTGAAGCCGGAGCGAGCAAGCCGCCCGGAGCCGCGCGGATCCAGCTGAGCCCAGCCCACTGGACGCCAGATCTCGACCATCGCTCCTACCTCAGACACCGCTCGGAGCCAAGGCGGACGGGTCCCGATCTTCCCCTATCCCCACCCCGCCCCGACCCTCTCCATCTCCCGCGTCGTGACACCAGCTGGTAAATACTCCACTGTCCGTTCCTCATACCCTCCGCAGCCGTGGGCGTGAGGGAGGGTTCTCTCTCCTCCCAGATGGGGGGTGTTGAAAACACAGCGGGGAGCCCCCTGGTAAGGGCCCTGGTAAATTGGGGAGTCGCAGTTTTTCTCTCGCTGCTGAAGTCGCCCACGCACCATCCGGGGAGTCCTGTGCGGAGGGAGCAGAGATTTTCCCCCCCTTATCCTTGCTGCTTAGTACGTGGGCGCTGGCAGTGAGATGGCTCGAGGAAGGGGGCGAGGAGGTACGGGGTGAGCGAGGGTTGCGGGTGTTCTTTCCCCATTTACACGACTCCAGAGATTGGCACAACACCTTTCTCCTTTGCTCCTAAACGTCCCTCTTCTGGGTAAGGTTAGGGGATCAGGGAAACCCCGGGGTTCCCTGTTTAAAAGTGGGGGAAGGGATGGTAGAATTAGAGAGCAGGGAATTCTCACAGAAACCCTCTTTCTTTGGTCCCTTCTATTTTTCAGTCTCCTGCAGCCCTTGGTCATGAAATTCCAGAGGTTGCCGGCCTCCGCCCTCTTCTGCTTCCTTCTACTGATCAAGGGGTTAGGAGCAGCGCCTCCGGGGCGCCCCGAGGCGCAGCCTCCTCCCCTTAGCCCTGAGCATACAGAGCCGTTAGCTGGGGACGCAGTGCCAGGGCCAAAGGATGGCAGCGCCCCAGAGGTCCGAGCAGCTCGAAATTCCGAGCCGCAGGACGAGGGAGAGCTTTTCCAGGGCGTGGATCCCCGGGCGCTGGCCGCGGTGCTGCTGCAGGCGCTCGACCGCCCAGCTTCGCCCCCGGCGCCGGGCAGCTCCCAGCATGGGCCAGCGGAAGAAGCAGCAGAAGCTCTGCTGACAGAGTCGGTGCGCAGCCAGACCCACAGCCTCCCCGCTCCGGAGACCCAGGCGCCCGCGGCCCCACCTCGCCCTCAGACTCAGGATGTTCCCGAGGCGAGCGACCCCTCTGAGGAGCTCGAGGCGCTAGCGTCCCTGCTTCAGGAACTGCGAGATTTCAGTCCCAGTAGCGCCAAGCGGCAGCAAGAGACCGCGGCAGCGGAGACGGAAACCCGCACGCACACGCTGACCCGAGTCAATCTGGAGAGCCCCGGGCCAGAGCGCGTGTGGCGCGCTTCCTGGGGAGAGTTCCAGGCGCGCGTCCCGGAGCGCGCGCCTCTGCCGCCCTCGACCCCCTCGCAGTTCCAGGCGCGTATGCCTGACAGCGGACCCCTACCCGAAACCCACCAGTTCGGGGAAGGAGTGTCCTCCTCCAAAACACACCTAGGCGAGGCATTGGCACCCCTGTCCAAGGCGTACCAAGGCTTGGGCGCCCCCTTCCCCAAGGCGCGCCGGCCGGAGAGCTCACTCCTAGGTGGCTCTGAGGCCGGGGAGCGCCTTCTACAGCAAGGGTTGGCGCAGGTAGAGGCCGGGCGGCGGCAGGCGGAGGCCACGCGGCAGGCCGCGGCGCAGGAAGAGAGGCTGGCCGACCTCGCCTCCGACCTGCTGCTCCAGTATTTGCTGCAGGGCGGGGCTCGGCAGCGCGGCCTCGGGGGTCGGGGGCTGCAGGAGGCGGAGGAGGAGCGAGAGAGCGAGAGGGAGGAGGAGGCGGAGCAGGAGAGACGCGGCGGAGAGGAGAGGGTGGGGGAAGAGGATGAGGAGGCGGCGGAGGCGGAGGCAGAGGCAGAGGAGGCGGAGCGGGCTCGGCAGAACGCGCTACTGTTTGCGGAGGAGGAGGACGGGGAAGCCGGGGCCGAGGACAAGCGTTCGCAGGAGGAG